GAAACGGATGTTTTCGCAGGCTAGGTTAGCGATTGTCTAACAGCTTTGAAGCATCTGACCTGATTTGTGTTCGCAGGGCGAAATATTCATCGCAAGTATTAGACGTTAAGAAGACGTAATGCAGTTTGAAACTATCAAGAATAAATCTTAAAAGGGAATGTACCGTTCTTGAACGAAAAACATCCCTGGAAAAAGAGACAAAATATGTTGCACATTTGCATAAACCTATTAGAGGTTTCGTGTTTCGCGCGTAATGGCCTTTGCCTTTGGCTTACTCGGTGTGTCAGAATTAACATGGCTACCAGCCATTAGAAAATCTCAATTTTTCATCTCAAAGTGAAATTTTGACTCCAATACTGCAATCCCTTTGCAAATAATGAGCGGAACGCGTAGTCTGCTACACTGCCGTTTTTAGTGTAGCCTGCAAAGACAACCGTTTCTCCTCGCTCTCCGCTGGAGACGTTTCGCGCAAAGGAACGTCCTGATGACGTAAAATCTGTTCGGAATCCGGTCAGAAGCGCTGATTGGTCGACGGAGTAGTTACATTGTTTTAGCTATTGTTTACGAATGACAGACAAGAGACAAAAGGCCACGAGTCAGTGAATATCTAGGCAAGCCAGTGCCGCTTACTTTTTGTGCAAAAGAACGACCCACTATCAGGTTAGTAAGCATTACCTAAAGTAGGAACGACTTAGATGCTTGGTATTGGCGCTGGCTCAAGCTTTTACCTCTCAAAAAGTCTTTCGGATGTAAGTTTTAGTTTCAAATGTAAGAAAAGATGGGACCTAAGGAAAAGACCCCGACCGAGTAAAATAACATCCTGGTATAGCTGGGTTAATCGAACAAGGGAAATAACAAATTCGCTCCTATACCGCATATTATTCCCCCTATATGTGATGAGACGAGGATATAGTTGTGAATGCTTGAATATGATAAGGACGTAAGGATTTATTTAAAGAAAGGATACTCAATCTTGAAACAAAGCTGAGCTAAGAAGTGCTCAGTCCTTCAGTGTAACGCTCTCTTAGTTTAGTAGTAGAAAGTTTGAAATGCAGTATAAGAGCAAATTTTAAAGATTGTTTTTACTTTAATATTCAGCTGCGCTCACCCTTGAAATATTTGTGTCAACACGAGAAGATACCTGAGGCCCGGGGGGGGCTACTTTGGTTAATTTTTGCTGGGTATGTGCCTCTGGCCTCTCAGGCCCCCACCCCATTATAGTCCATTATAGTCCATTATAGTCTGTGGCCGATTATAGACCCTATAGATTATAGACTCTTGGGGAAATATGTAATTTTTGCGATCCCAACCTAGTCACTTTCTTTTTATGTATCTAAGTTATATCAAATGAAGAACACTCTACTTTTCACTAACAGTACAAACATTCTGGTACGTTTGCTAACTGCTGATACGAAGAACTGTATTACCCCAAAAATCTGAAAATGTCGGCACATCCCTCTTATTACGAAGTCCCCCCCCCCAGACTTGAGGTCACCCAAATTGTCTCTAATTTAAAGGCCTGCAAAATATACTTTGTACTTTTCAAAAATTCGTTTCCACTTTTTCTAAAGGAATGGTCCTTATAACGATGTAAGCACAACGCTAGTCCAAGGTCTGAATGAACTTTTATGCCAAAAAGTAATTAGGCTTGACAAGCTCTGTCGTGCTTGAGGTATGCTAAACAACTCCACCTTGATTCAGACGTCGCGCCCGACTTGTCCCGAATTCAATAACAATGATCATAAGCTCTCTCTTTATAAACTAGACAACAGAATACTGGGCTGCCATAAAACCTAGACTAGATAGAAATGATTTTTGCGTGATTTTTTAAACTTTGTTATTAATAGTTTCCCTCGTCTGTCAGATTTTACTGATTGCGGGGTTAAACATTCGAAGTATTCAATTAAATTGAAAACATAACTGAGCGAAAGAGGAGTTGCTGACAGATCGGATTAAAAACTAAAGCTTATAGATTCAAGAAGTCACGATTTCGTGTAGTGTGTGAGCGAGCCATTGTACTGCGAGGATTGAAGCGATGAAATAAACCCTGCTTTTGCTTAAAACTGTGATAACGTGAAGAACGGTCGTACGGCATTCACCACACTAGGACACATTGGTTTTTCTTGCTGAGAATTAATTTTCAAAAAGTACTCAGTACCTAGCATTGATAATATTTTCTTTCTTGTTAAGTACGTACAATCAGGGTGTAATAGAAGTACAGATTTTCAAACAGTACTACGGTATGCGTACATTATGTGAAACCAATTCATTGTATACCGTTTTGTTTCTGAATTGAAGTGTTGTATTTTTGTGTAGTAGATTTTGGACAAAATATATTTGATACTCTGGAGTAAATTTTTGCAGGAAAACTATGTTTTCGTTAATGTTTTTGGGGGAAATTATTTTTGCGGATCGCTGGAAAAATCGCAAAAATCGTAAAAATTAGAACCCGGAAAAATTTCGTGCCACACGCTATCTCTAGTTTATCTGAACTTTTTTTGTTTTGTTGACAGCTTGTCTCTATATTTGAGGAAAACAATAAAAAAGTCGTCCCTTTCGTATGAAAAAAGCTTCAGCGCATCTGAAATTTTCTTTAATCACCTTCAATACCATTGAGCTGTAGTTAGAGCGGCGCACAGAGTTAAATTGTCTAAACTAAACGAAACTGGTTCGACGTGGACAGAGTTTTTAAGCGAAGAAAACGTTTTGGTTTTTTATCAGTAGTATTTTTATACACTGCGAATCGACCGGATGAAAATGAACTCATTCAATTTTTTGAACTATCATAGAAGGGACGTCTGTTTACAGGCTAGCGTGTGCATAAGATAAGAGTGTTCATTCCGAAGGTCATATATGGCGCTAAGAGAGAATGATCTTGATGGCGCCAGCTGGCGCTTTTTATCCTTGGGGGTACTCCACAAATTGACCTATATGGGAAGGCTCCGCGCGAAAGGGGTACCTTTTTTAGGCTGCAGGTATACAAAAGAGTAGAGATTTCACTAGCTGAAGTATATGTAAGGGTAGGAAAATGCGTCATTTGGGTCAGTAAAAAGGCCCAAAAGGACTAGTCTCACGATCATGTTTTTTATCTTTCCTAGCAAGAAACATATTTTGCATAGGGGGTGGACCATTTGATTTTTGATGGGGGTTGCAGGATTTTTAGATTGCTAGATATTTTTTTTATTGCTCCAGCCCTGCAGGATTTTTTTTTAATCTCCCTGTCCTTGCATGATATTTTTTTTAATGGAAATTTAAAACACAAATTTTGAAGTTTAATAACTTGACCATCACCAGCCACTCAAAATTCACCCTTTAGGCTATTAAAAACCACCTTTACACGCAATGCATTTTTAAGTTTACATCTTTCTTTCAAAGTAATAAGGAGTTTCATCTTTATTCAGTGTACAAAGAAATGCATCTCCACTAACCTGTGGCTAGTTGATTTCCCTGTCGGGCTAGTGGATGTCATACATGCCTTCTCAAACAAAACTTTATATTGGTCTGTTGCATTTTTGTAGGAGCTGTGACTATTGCATAAAATATTTTACAATAAGCAGTCTTTAGAAAATAGCATTCTCAAATAGACCTATCTTATGGACTGTTGCATTTTTATTGTTACTGTTGCATAAAATATTTATAGAGAAAAATTTCAATTGTTATTTATTGATCAAATGATTTTTATTACAAATCACAATTTGCAGTATTTTAAATATTTATAGAGAGAATTTCTTCTCTCCAAAAGCTGCGATTATTTTGGTCAGCACCGAGTATCGAGACCTGGCTGCTCTGCAAAGCCACCACCGGAAGTCCACATTTAATGCACTAACTCTTCAAATCTGACAAATCTGATTGCCTGAAAACTGCAGAATGAGTGCTCTGCACATGCTCAAAAATTGGGACCAGCCAGGGGTATCAATTCCAGGTGCTGATCAAAAGGATTGCACCCTCTGGAGATGAGAATGTTGCAAATAGCTATTAAAGCTTTGCACCTTACATTTAAATTTGGCTAGATATGCAGATGTACAGGATGTTGAAGACAACCTTGTTCATTTATAAAGAAAATTTTAAACTGTTATTATTCTTAAGGCTCAACTGTTCTTGATGGATAAATATAGACAATTTCTGCCAGCTTGTAGTTTATTAAAGACATTGTTAAATAAACATTTGTCACCACAGTTGTCAATAGGTGAGAAAATCAGATTGGTAGTTGACCCCTTTGAATCATCTTTTATACAGATACATGATCTATAAAATTACAATATTTCAATGCCTACAAATTAAAACAATTACGTTTTAATTTATGTGCTACAGACTGTTTACTATTATTTTCTTGGCTTGAAAATAGGCAGTGAACACAAAAGTAATAGAACTCTGCAAAAACACGAATGACCCAGAGGGAAAAAATGCTCTTCGATCTATTTGATCGTCTTTTGTCTCGTGCACATATCCAGCGCATCCGTTTCACTTTCTTTGTATATTTTGAACCCTGCACCAATTCAATGTGGCCTGCCTTTACTCTTGTTTGTCCCATTTCCTTTTCTATAAAGTAAATCTTATTTTGTTACAAAAATACCTGCACGTGACAACTGTTGGGGTGGGAATCTGAATGCATGAATATCTTTGAATCATAATATCCTTCTAGATCAGAGGGTTCACTTTAATAGGAAATCTAATTTGTAAATCATGCGTCGCGCTTGCAAAATACTAATTCACGCATCAAAAAATGATGCCCAGTCCTGTATCATGTGACTCACAGCTACTTTTGGGGCCGTCATGCATCACCAGACCAGTATTTGTACGCAGTTATTTGCAGGTCACTTGGTGGGCTATCGGCCAATGAGAAGGAGGAAAAATTTGCAGTAAATGGTAACTTTGTTTGCTTTATTTTATTCTTTTACCGTGCCACCCGGATAGCTTATTGTGTCGGCACCAAAAGCTATTTGGTTATATAGTGTGAACATGGCCTTATTATCCTATCGTTTTTTAGAGCCTTCTCAGATATGGATAATGATGAAGACTACAAATCACTGTTAATCCGGAACGACTCGTCTGATGCTATTCTAACACTGTACGTGTATCCCCATTGGTTCTGCTGGATCTCCAAGGAATCGAAAATAATATATCCCAGCGACAAGTATCTCTACCGTAGTAAGAAGAGATTTCAGTTCGAGGTGGTTGCCAGATTTGATGACCGGAAAGACAAGAAAAGCGAAGATGACAGCCAAACTGACAAAAAAGATGAAGAAGACGAGCAAGACAAGCCAAAAAAGAAAAAACAGGTCCTCAGAGAAGTTCAACAATGGAAGGAAGATAAACTATTGAATATAACTGGCTTTTTGGGTTCAGAGTCACTTGATGTCGTTGAGGGAGATCTTACCCATTACCCTGAAGATAAACAAATATGCCTTCGAAGACTACAACGAGACAAAGAGCTTAAATTTACTAGCGGAGAACGTAACCTGTATGAGATCTTAGGGCTTGACATGGCCAAGGTACGTAAAATGTCAAACGAAGAACAGAAACAGGTTATCAGAAGAGGATATCACAAACAAATACGTTTATGGCATCCTGATAACAATGGTCGTGGAGATGAAGAGATCGCCAAAGAGATCATCCTTGCCTACAACGTCTTAGAAGATAACGCTCTACGTGCGCGTTACAACAATCAGGCTGACTACGACGGCGGTTGGCTTTCCTGGAGTCGTTACAAAGCAATTTTCAAGCCCGAGTGTTTCAATGAAGAACAGGAGAAGGCTTACAGAAAAAGAATGTGTATGTTTGCTGCGTCAGTTGCGATGACAGCCATAGGTATTGGTCTTACTGTTGGCACCGCTGGATTGGCAGCACCGGCGCTGGTAGCAGTTGGAGCGGTTTTGGGAGGTGGACTTATCGGAGGTGGATTTCAATCATTGCAGCACACTTTAAATCAGCGGGCCATTGTAGACGAGTGTCTGGTTAAAGAGTGGCTGATGAAAGCAGGGATTGGGTTCCTTGGAGGAGCCGCTACCGGAGGTGCAGCTGCAGGCTTTACGGCAGCTATAACCGGTCTTGGAAGCGCCGCTTTGGAGTCAGCTGCCATCACTGCCGGTCAGTACATGGGCGTTGGAGCAGCAACTGGTGCTACAGGTGGTGTTGCAGCTTCTATTGCTTTAGATGCAGGACGAAAGTTTGTTGATGGTGAACAGATCACTTGGAAGCAGGCTGTTGGACATGCAGTGGTCGGCGGTGTAATAGGTGCTGCTACAGGGATGGCAGGAGGGGCCGTCACTAAAGCCATTGTGGCAGGCCAAGCATCTGCGGCATCTGCCAATCTTGAAGGTGAGATAGCTGAACAAGTAGCTATTGTAACTGGAGCAAGGCGTGTCGGTAATGTTCTGGCTAAAACCATTCCCCGAATGTTAACAGAGAATGGAACAGAGGCTGTGATGGGAACTGTGTCTCGATTTGCTGAGGAAAGGCTGGATGATTCAGTTGAAAATCGAAGTCCTGGTGAACATATGAGGGATGGAATAAAGAATCTGGCTACAAATACCGTAACTGGGTCTGTTCGAGACTGCACTGCCGCAGGTGTTTCTCATGGGTTGAACGAAGCAAGGGTCCATCAAAAATCAAAGATGGAGTTGAAAAACCCACCTTCCACTGAAGCTATAAACAAAACGGATGAAGTTACATCACACGAACGCCGCGGCCGAATAAGATTGAAGATGGACAAAGAAAACAACGAACATCTGCATAAATTGAAATATGGTATATGCTCTGCCAAATACCAGCCAATTGTTAACGAAAACACTTCACAACTCACAAGAGAATTCAAAAAGAAACTTGATCTACCTAAAGAAAAAAAAGAAGAAAGTAACTGCCACAGGACTGGCAAATGGCCCTCCGGCTACCAACCGCTTCGTAACGAGTTGAAAAACCCACCTTCAACTGAAGCTATAAACAAAACGGATGAAGTCACATCACACGAACGCCGCGGCCGAATAAGATTGAAGATGGACAAAGAAAACAACAAACATCTGCATAAATTGAAATATGGTGTATGCTCTGCCAAATACCAGCCAATTTTTAACGAAAACACCTCACAACTCACAAGAGAATTCAAAAAGAAACTTGATCTACTTAAAGAAAAAAAAGAAGAAAGTAACTGCCACAGGACTGGCAAATGGCCCTCCGGCTACCAACCGCTTCATAACAAAGAAACATCCAGCCAATCTCTGCCTATCGACCTGAGTGACTATGGAGAAGAAGAAGCAAATGGAAAAGTCAAATACATATCAGAAGGAGCATGGTTCTCCAAAATGGTCGTTAGCTATGTCCTAAAAAAGAATGAAAAGATTGTTAAAGAAGTTCTCGGCAGTGGATCGTCAGTTGATATTCCGTCCGTTGCTAGGGATATCGAAGTTAAATTTCAAGTGCAACGTCCCTTTTGGGGGGACATTTGCAAATATGATCGTTTTGGTGGTTTCTGGTGCAAGCCATACCAGCCGCATGTCTTTTGTTACGACTCTCCGCCAATCCACCGCACGTTTACTATCAGTGGTGGCCTGTGGTATGAGGCTGTGATGAGGGTAAGCAATGAATACCACGAAGAAACAAAAGAAATGTGAAAACGGTGAGACACTAACACAGTCTATTTTCTGGTTGACAATACGTCAAGGCGTGAAGACGGGTCAGCAAAGGCCAAAAAACTGTGATTCTCCTTGTTCTCGTGGTCACAATGACATTAAGTTTTCATTCAATTTTACGGCCTAAAACATCTGAGGCCCCATTTATGGAGAAAATCTGTTCCGGGTACAATGGTCACGCTCACACAGAGAGTGCTGACCCCTTTGTCCGAACCAACATCGCTAGCGCATGCTCAGATTGTCTCGCCTTGACTGAGTTGACTCAGCTGTGCGAGCCAAAGTGTTTGTATAGAGAAAGTTGTCCCGACTAGGAGGGTGACCCGGCTAGGCGGTTCACTGTTTTAGCCAAAGTTGACTCGCCCAGAGTAGTTCGGGTAGGCTGCTAACCGGAACAGTTTTCCGTATAAACGGGACCTGTAGTGTTTATATAGAGTCTCCACCCTTCGGCTCCTTTTATATTGTGCGACTCCGCCTCCAAAACATCTTGGCTTTTGGTTGGTTCTGTATGGCTAATAAAGCTCACAAATGTTGTATAAACCAAGTAAAAATATGTAGAAAACTTTGTCGATATGCAACAGTAGTGGATTCTCTGTGACAACTGATTTTTTAAAACACTAGAAAACTTTGTAGTGACTTATCAGGACATTAAAATGTAAGAGGATTGTCGGAAAACTATCTTAAAGCAAGTATCATGTGATAGAACATAGTTTTCAGCGTTTTAATGTAACTTTTCAAAAAACATTGATCTTGGAAGATATAATTCAAAGAAACAGTTTTGGAATTTTCAGTAAAATTAGTACCACGTATCCAGTGTACCCCATGGTTGCGGTCAGTTTTCCCTCTTTAGTTTTGTGCGCATAAGTTATTATTAAGTTAAAGAGGATATAATATTCATGGCTTGCATGGTGTCTTTAAGCCTGGTTTCCTTATAATCGTCTCGATAACATCAGAGTATGTGCTCAGGAGATGCCTGCTTTGAAAGAGTTTTCATCGACTGCGTGAATGTATCCACCATGTTGAATTCCAGAAAAGTCGAGGATCTATCAAAGATTTGCGTTAAGTTTTGTTTCCTTCTTACGAAGAAAACATGATTTCAGACGAAGACTTTCTACTTTTGTATGACGAATACTCTTCGAAGAACCTAGAATTTGAAGGTCTGGTCTCAACCTGTGAACTCGCTGTGACCGCAGCTCAAGAACGTCTTGACATGCGCAGTGGCTGTCATGTTGCAAAAATACTTCCGGTTGGCGTCCGTGGTACCACTATTAGGGAACTTAAGCACTAGACGTTCTTCCTATTCAGGCACAGTCAGGGTTACACTCACCATGTACATAGTAAGATCACATCCCACCTGCTTTTGAGCTATATAAAATTGAATATGGCCACCAATAATAATTTTCGATATTGTTGTATAATAAGTATATATATATGTATATCTATATCTGTTAGGTTAACACATTAACCTATAACATTATACTGTAATTTTATACCCTTATTTTCCTTTTTTCTTCAAAAATTGTGATTCTGAAAGCCTTGTGGAGAGTTAATAAAACTACTGTACTGTACTGTACCATTTCAGTCACCATTGCATTTTCGCGCGTGCGGACGGGTCAAAAAGATTCACAAACGCAACGGTACCGACGCATATTTGTTTTGAAAACTGAGAAATCCCCGTTTCAAACAAAAATGGATACGTACGTACGAAGCTTAATTTTTGGGGGACGATCACAAAAGCGATCGAGATGATGCTGATAATTATGCAAACTAGGCTTTAAAAAGCCAGGTAAAGGTGCACAAGAGCCCATAGCTCCCCAAAGGTCAGAGCTCAAGCGAGTTTCTGTAGCCGTGAAGCACTTAAAATCGGCTACAAAATACTAATTAAGAAACTTGGCCCTCATTGACATTTTCAGTCACCTTTCCCCTACACTTTCTTCTTTGACAGAGGAAAAGGCTTTTTGTCGATCCCCTACTCGATCTTGTTAAGGTGGCTCGATACAGTTTTTCAGGATCTATACCTTCCAAGTTTGAGCATAAACTACGAAGATTGGGAAAAATCGCCACCAAAGTTGTATCAGATAAAGATGAAAATTTTGTTATGATCAGGGTTACAATGACATCGGAGTTGTCATAGCAACGAAATGACGCTATTACCTATTTTACTTGCAGCAGTATTTCTCGGCACTCGGATTAGGCGAAATCTGTAAGAGCGTTATCGAGATATTTTGGGATAAAGTTTTTATGGTTAGAAATACGGTAAAAATGGACAATCTTAATGTTCGGCTGTTATCTGTAGAAAACGAAGCGCTTTTGACATGCACTTTCACCTCATAGTAGTTCAATCTTTTTAAAAACGTGCGCGAAAGATCATGGAGATAGCTCCCGCCGATTGCTAGAAAGAAAGATTTGATTAGTATGTATCGAGACACTCTTGTAAGCGGTTTGTCAACATTTTGGTCTACTTTACCAAATCAGCGAATAATTTTTAAACCGCTCAACAGATTTTTTTAAAAAATCTCCGATGTCGTTGCAACCCTGATCATAACAAATTTTCATTTTTATCTAATACAACTATGGTAGGAACTGAGGAACAGCTGGGAGAAGGGCTTTAGTAAAACTACGAATAAGCAATCACAAACTAATGAGAGAAGTAGGCAGATACAATCAAACTACGAAGGATAATAGGCATTGCCCTTATTGTGGATGCAATGTTATAGAAGACGAAGTTCACTTTCTTTTTCAATGTCCTACATACTCTATGATTTGGAATAAATTTTACGATAAAATCAAGACTCTGATTCCAAATATTACCCAGTTACCTATAAACGGTTTGATCAATGAACTGATGAACTCTTCTAATTACTTAATCAATATACAATTCATAAAATATATTTCAGCTTGTTTTGATGTTCGTGACAAATTATTATCAAAGTAACGTAATTGCTCTGTGTTGTAATTTTGATCCCTAAAAATAGCTTTTGCAATACTGTATGTGCTTGTATGGTCATGTAAATAAAGCTCGTTGTTGTTGGTAGCAATTTTTCCAAATCTTTGTTTATGGCGAAGTAGTTTATGGTCAATCTTTGGAGGTATTGACCCTGAAAAACTGTATCGAGCCACCTTAAACAATGTTGTGCCGCTATCCGGTGGCAAGCAACCTGTAGACAAGAGATGATCGCTTGCTGTAGAAAACAATACTGAACAGCCCAACTTCGGATAAGGGGGAGATGGGGAGGGGGGGGGGGGATAAAAATTGGTTTGTTTTTAGAAATATAAACCCATTTTGACGACAGCATCTCGACACTTTATGAAGTTAATTTGACAAATTAAATTTTACCCCTGTTAAGGGTATATTAGCATATGCCCTCATGGACGGGATCATGCTACCTCATCCGTTATCCCCATTAGTATGTCGCCGGTACTTACTTGTACACCTGGGTGAAAAGAGAGATAGGGTGGACAGAAACTAGGCAATTGATCAAACCAGGGCCTTTGAGATCGGTCACGTAGTATCCTTTCAGCTTCCTCTAAATATAAATTAGTAAAACTACTGTGAAAGGGAGAGTCTCACACCTATACAAGCTAATCGTCCGTACTGAAAACTAATAACAGGACTGTTTCCCGTTCATTCCCTCAACAGTTGTTTTATACGAAGATTTCGTTATTTTGTTCCGGTTACTCTTTTGTCTGCCAGCTTTTTCTTCTGCCAAATAGTAAGAATTTTCAGCATTATAAAAGTATTCAAGGAAAGAACTGTTTCCCCAGTCTGCCGCGTAAGTTAAAATAAAAAAAATCTCATTTCAGAGAAAAGTTGCACAAATTTTCTTTCTTTAAGGGTTTGTTTTGGGCTGGCTAAGAGTAATAAATCCTGAGCAATGTTACGGATCAATTATTTGGTCTCTCAGGTCACTTAACATGACTTATTATTCATTCAATGAAATATTTCCCCGACTCTGATTGGCTAAAAGCACAAGCATAATTCACCATAACCAGGTACTGATGGCCAAATTTGGAAGAATTTTGCGATTAATGAACCGATGACGACAAAAGTACAGCTTCCTTGCAGGTTAATGCACCGTTAACCGAGAAGACCTAGGGACGAAGTTGAGTTGTTTTGCTTGTGAAAATAAAAATGGCGGACATTTCAATCGTTTCAAGAGTAAGAACTAGGCGAAATAATAGCTAAAAACATGGCAAGAACAGCAAGAAGACAACTCGAAGGGCGACATCTGCTGTTGGAGAATATTTGCGGAGCTGAAAACCCTAAACGTGCACTATCTAAGATGAACTTAAAAACGATGGAGAAAAGCCTGTTTTAGCTATGTTTTTAAACTAGGAATTATTTTGAATGGATAATAAAACAATTATTGAATTCGACTTTCGTATTATATGAAGAATTATGGAGATCTCGGAGGGTGTTATTCACCTCGGCCTACGGCCTCGACAGATAACACCAGTAGTTATATAGGGATGAAGATAAGCCCCGTTAGTGTCTAGCACGGTCTAGCTAGGTCTAGTCTATGACGTCACCGATTGTTATAACCTGGGAAAAAGTGGATTCCCTTTATTAATATGTACAAGTGTCTTCCTGCATACTAATTTGGATTAGGTTTACTAATGAGCGTCACTCTACTACAATAGGAACAATAGGCTTGTCTAGACTTGCCCGGGCTCTTTTAACCCTGATTGGATAGTAAACAATCTATTATGTGTTCAACATAAAAGCGCGCTCTCCGTTCAGCATTTTATTCTTGCAATCGCTTTGCTAAGGAAAAAGTCTTATTATCACCAATATTTTTCAAAACATTGCTCCAAACATGCAAGTCGAATCGAGCTGTAAACTTGTCTGACTATTACAGAACTGTTTTCTCCTTTCTATCTCGAGGAAATGAAAAACTATTGAAGTCTTGTCATTTTCACGCACGGTTAATCAGTTAATTATGCGAGTTCGCAAGCCCAAAGTTGAATACAAATTAGCTCTACAG